GAAGGGACTGTCTCTAGTCTCTTCTTCAAAGCCTCCAGGGACGGAGCCCCCACGATTTCTGGAGCCAAGCGCGGCTCCCCCATCTCCTCCCCATCTCCTCCCCATCGGTGGGCGACCCGGGCCGGGCGGGAGGCGCCTCAACCTCTCTGCCTTGCCTTCTCCAGCAGCTCGGCGGCCGGGGAGCTTCCCTCGTCTTCTCCCGTTCCGGCTCCGGCCGCTTGCTCGCTCAGGCTCCCGGCTGGAGCGAAGGCCGGCGGGCGAAAGCGCCGGGCCTTGGTCTTGCCCATGGTCCCAACCGCTTCTTCTTGCACCCGGGTCGGGCAATTGGGCTGGCCGTCTTCCCCGCCACCCCGCCAAACCCCACGTGTGCGGCTGGGGCGCAGGCGCCGCTCTCCGCCCCGGATGCAGGCGGGGAAAGGGGGCCTTGCCTGGCGGAAGGGGCTGGGAGGAGGGAAGGGGGCGGGTGGGGTCTCCGCGGGTCTCTTTCCCCGGACGCCCCTTTTTATTGTTCCTTTTTATATTTTATTTATGTATCCATTTCATATATTCATAACTATGTTATACTTATACCTGTTACCTTATAATCGCTTGACAAAATAAAATAAATAAAATAAAACCTCCTATTCTATTCTATTCTATTCTATTCTATTCTATTCTATTCTATTCCATTCTTCATTCTAATATTCTATTCTACTCTATTCTATTTTATTCTTCCTTCCCATATTCTATTCTATTCCATATTCCATTCTATTCTTCATTCATTCTATTCTATTCCTTATTCTATTCCATATTCCGTTCTATTCTATTCCATATTCCATTCTACTCTATATTCTATTCTATGCTTTCACTCCAATATTCAATTCAATTCAATTATATTCCATATTCTAGTCTACTCTATTTTTCATTCCAATATTCTATTAAATTCCCTATTCTATTCTATTCTATTCTATTCTATTCTATTCTATTCTGTTCTGTTCTATGCTATTCTATTCTGTTCTATGTTATGCTATTCTATTCTTCATTCCAATATTCAATTCAATTCCATATTCTATTCTTCTTCTTTTATTCTATATCTTATTCTGTTCTGTTCTTCTGTTCTATTCTATTCTATTCTATTCTGTTCTATTCTATTCTATTCTATTCTATTCTATTCTTATTTTATTCTATATCTTGTTCTGTGCTGTTCTTCTGTTCTATCCTATTCTATTCCTTATTCTATATCTTGTTCTGTTCTGTTCTTCTAGTCTATTTCATATTCCATTCCATTCCATTCTTCATCCCAATCTCTTATCCTATCCTATCCCAATCTATTATTCCAGGGGTCTCCAACCTTGGCAACTTTAAGCCTGGCAGACTTCAACTCCCAGAATCCACCAGCTAGCATGCTCTAATAATCAATTGGAACAGCCCAGCTGCAGAGTGGTACAGAATTGGATCTAGAATTGGAAAGATGAGACTGAAAATGCTGGGATTTATCATGCCGATTAAAAAGATCCGGCTTATCATAATTTGGGGAAATTATAGCTGAGCAGTGGGTACGCACTCTGTTCTCTGCCACTTTGCAAGCTTGATTTTAAAAATGGTATTAAAGTGTAGAAAAATGAACTATTTCGGTTATTTTCAAAGCTTACATTAAGATAACGGCTGTATTCGGGCAATTGATGGGTTTTCAACTTCTACAGGTCGTCCTCCAGTTACGACCACAATCGAGCCCAACATTTCTGTTGCTAAGTGAGACATTTGCAAAGTGAGTTTTGCCCCGCTTGAAGACCATTCTGGCCATCGTCGTTAAGTGAATCACTGCAGTTGTTAAGCGAGCAACATGGTTGTTAAGTGAATCTGGATTCCCCATTGATTTTGCTGATCAGAAGGTCGGAAAACGTGATCACATGACGTCGGGACTCTGCAACCGTCATAAGTGCGAGGCAGTTGCCAAGCGTCCACGTTCTGATCATGTGGCCGCGAGGTTGCTGCAAAAAACAGTCATGTCACTTTTTTTCAGTGCCGTTTTGTAACTTCGAACAGTCGCTAAATGAATTGTTGTAAGTTAAGAATCACCTATACCAGTGATGGCTAACCTTTTGGGCACCGAGTGCCCCAAATCTCCAAAGTGCAATTTGCATGTGTCTCCCATGCATGTGTGTGCCCCTCTGCACATGCACCCCACCCTCACGTGTGTGCACACTCCTGCACATGCATCCCACACATGGACTCCACCCCCATGCATACACCCCGCAGAAGAAACCCAAAGACCAGCTGGCCGGTAGAAGGCATGCGCACATGCGTGGCAGAGCTGAGCTGGGCTATGGCTCATGTGCCCTGCGAGCCACCTCTGCCATAGGCTTGCCATCACGGACCTATACAATGCCTTTTATCAGCCAAGAGATTATTAAAAAAAAAAAAGTGGAATGGGTTTATAATAGATAATCATGTCTATAATTAGGTCTTAAGGAAAGAGGTTATTTTTGGCTGCCAAAAATCAGGAATCTGATAATTTTATAGAATGCATTGGTTGGGTAAGGTGCTACCGTGTTATTCCTGATTTTACATTTTACAACAAACAGGAAAATGTATAAATCGTTATGCTCTCCTTTGAAGATGTCTTGCTAATAAATTCATGCAGCATGGTTATTTGTAGAGAGTTATTACGGAGACCTAACCGTAGATTGGTTTCAAAAATTACTTTTATTGTAGTTTGCAATCCCCCCCCCCCCCCACCCCGATAGAATTTTCAGAAGTTAGCGATTTCAGAGGTTTTACTTCCAACAAACACACACTTGCATTTTTTTTAAAGATCAAATAATAAAATATTTATTTAAAAGGCAATTCCTACAAAAAATTGTACAGCTGCTTAAAAACCGCGGCGATGTAAGGAATAGAGAAGACACTTCCGAGAGCAAAAGAAGAAAAATCAAGACTTCGATGTGCATTATTTCTAAATCCAAGAGATTTCTTCTCCTACAAATTCTTGCACGGTGAAGTTCCTTTTGGTCTCAGCTGCGTCTTAAAAGAGCAATGCGCTTATTAAAATAGCTTGTATGTTTTTAAAAACAAGGCGCACGGATTTAAAATGAAATTCCTGGGTCGGTATTTTAAAAGTCACACTGTGAGTAACAGCCACTGGTTTTTTAAAATTTTATTTTAACACTTCCGTGTAACAAGGATAATTAAAATAGTTTGTTAAAAAAAAGAGTTTTAAGAAATTCCTCATACGGAGAAACACGAGTCACTAAGCAATCTAGAACCTGACCTCGTGAGTACAAAACCTTTTCCTTAAGCAGATATTTTTGGTGAGGAAACACATCCAAAGAGACTACCACTTCCAACATCACAGTGAAAGCTTCATGTCTCCAGTACTTCTACTAAATTAAACCATGATCAACACCGAGCACTACAGTTTGAGAGTATCTCGTATGGTTTCCATGATGCTGAGCTTTGGCTCACCACGTCTAGCGTGGAGTGATATTTGCAGTCATCGCTAGAAAAGGGTCCACAAATGGCTACACAGAAAAACTTGGCTACCCATCAAGCTGAGTTTGGAAATGGTGGGTGTCCAATACAAGGCTAAGAGCCTACTCCCCATTTCTTCAATTGTCTTAGGTCCATTGTGGGCATCCTGCATGCACCAGGCTAAAACAAAACCCAAAAGAGCAGCAAAATGGTTTTGTTACACTTCTGGCACTTCTTTTCATCAAGTAATATAAAGAACAAACAATGCATCCCATTCAGAAATACTATAATTTCACGACAAAACTCTCTCGGCATCAATTTCAAATCCAATACATTGGGGAGTTTTTTGTTTTTATCCAGAGAGAGAAAAAGAATAACTCGGGAGGAGGAAGAGCGAAAAACAGCAAGCTGTGAATAACAGAGCAGATCAAAGGTTGCACAAAGCGAAAAATTAGGACTAAAAAAAAAAATCAGCTTCTTGATCCGGCACAAGGTGTTTGTGTGGGATGTTCTGTCGTTTTTTTCCTCTGCTTTCTTCAAACATGCTGGAGGCCAAACATTTATAATTATTAGCAAGAAAATGTAAAATGTGACTCTCGAGCCTCTCTCCCATCATCTGGGTCCAAACAAAAGCCAGAAAGGAAACCAACTTTACACCGTACTGTATTTGCAGAGTTGTGGGAAGCTCAAAATGGCAACCCGGATGTAACTCTAGTCTAAAATGTTCTGCTGATAAGTTCCAGGAGATTGAGGTTGCTGCTGTCAGAAGGAAAGACCCAATTGTGAAACATTAGGCAACGTGTCAACTCATTCATCGAATAAACCACGACAAACTCTGGATGTGACCTGTCAACACATCGGGACCACAGACATGGAAAGGAGTGAAGGGCTCTCAATCCACAAACACACGCGCTGGTTAAAAAAAGCAACAACGTTGTGGCGAATGGCAGTACAAACACTGTAGCCGTTTTCTATTTACAATGACTTGCGTGTGGTAAACGCAGACGAGTTTCCGGAAGGGCTGCCTCGGCACCCCCTCGCCATGAGAGATGAGGAAATGGTAATACTGTCCTAGGAGAAATCGGTAACACAGAGTTCGGGCAGAAAAGCTGTGGAGACGTCAGACGTTTTGCCCGTCTTTCCATCGAAGGTTGAAGACACACCTCTTTCTCGGTCCCCTTTGGCCTCGTTGTAGTGAAGAAACAAAACGGTGTGTGTAATTCCACAATCCTCTGCACAAAGGCTATGGGTTATTGGACATGGAGCCGAGGTTTCAAGATTAATTTTCCAGTCTGTGGGGAGGAAAAAACAACAACCAGCCTTAAGTGGTAAGATAAACCAGCACTTCTCTCCCACCAGAAGTTTCGTTTCCAATGTCAAAACTCAACATAGTTAATCCAAGGAAAACAGAGTTACTTACATCGTCGCACGACATGTTGTATTCCGCCAAAACAGTTCGACATCGAGCGGCTATGCTGAAGGGGGTGTCAAAGAAACTTGCTTTTTCCGTAGTCAAAGGGCCTGCTTTCCTAATCCATTTAGCAAGCTGATAAAAATATTTCTGAGCCGCTCACCAAATATTTAATTTCCCTTCCAACCGCTCGATAATTCTTTTAAGAAATGCTCGTCAGCGACAAAATATGAAAAAAAATCAAATCAAATCAATTGCCTTTCTACTTGCCAAAAGGGCACAAAGCTATATTCTCCTTTCTCTGTAGCTTTTTAAGAAGGGAAAGTTTTAGTCTGAGGCAAAACCTACGCTAGAGTTAAGAGCTTCTTATACTTTAAAGTGCCCTCCTGTAAATAAATATGGCTAAACAGCATTCAGGTAGTCCTCAACTTACAACAATAACTGAGCCCAACATTTCTGTTGTTAAGTGAGACATTTAAGTGAACGTTGTCCCATTTTACGCCTTTCTTGCCTTGGTTGTTAAGTGAATCACCGCAGGTAATCTGTTAGTAACCCAGTTGTTAAGTGAATCTGGCTTCCCCTTTGATCACATGATCTAACAGATAATCAGAGTTGGAAGGGACCTTATAGGTCATCTAGTCCAACCCCCCACCCAAGTGGGAGACCCTACACCATTTCTGACAAATGGCAATCCAATCTCTTCTTGAAAGTTTAAAGTGATCTTGAGACACAGTAATGGTCACAAATATGAGTCAGTGGCCAAGCCTTTGAATTTTGATCCCATGATGAGAGAAAATGCTGCAACAGTCATAAGTGTGAAACATGGTCATAAGTCACTTTTTTCAATGCCATGGTAACTTTGGTCCCTAAACGGACTGTTGTAAGTCAAGAATTCAATAGCTATGTATTGCACATATTCACCTGGTACCTGCATAAAACCCTTGGAAAAGGATACATTGACGGTGCCACTACTCTTTTATGTATTCCAGCAAAAAATAAACCAATTAATGTAATACAGCTAATGGTGAAGAATGGATGATTCCATAGAGACGTGAAAAAGGATACCTAGGAGAGAATCAAACAACTTTTTATTTTATTTTTTAAAAAAAAACATTCTTACATTGAATGAGTAAACACAAAACTGAAAGACAGAACTCACAAAAACTGTAAGGAAGTGAAAATCTCCACTGTACTTTCGACTCCCTTCTAAGCAAATTCTTAGCAAAAAGCAATAAACCTAATTTCTATTTTTTTTCTCTGCTACCACGGTATATAGGGGTTAGCAATCTGATTTTTTTTTTAAGGTGGACAGATTCTAGTTGTTAGCTTCCAAAATCTAATCTAAAAGACCCCAAATTATGGTGTAATCACAAGTGGACAACTCTCCTATGATGTTCTAGACATGCTTCGAGAATGTGCAGTATTGAGATTCTATTTTGGGAAACTAAAGTGCTACCTTGACGGTAATGACATGCCTCAAATATTGTTTGAGGAGAAACATAGCAATTTTCCAGACATCCCACAACACTTGCTAAAATATCCCAAATATCTTCCCTATGAATCTATAGGGCAAATTTTTTAAAAATGCTAGGACTTCACCCACCTTCTGTGTTTCAGGATCTATTAACCAGTTCCAAGCACCAGTGGCTGTACAGACTGATACCACTATAAGAATTACTGGAGGAAAACCAAAAGGACAAAAATGATGTTATATTCAATACATTGGGAATAAACCATAACAACAACCAAATTGGACCCTGCCAACTACGGTCTCAAATTGTGAAGGTTGTAAAGCACCCCATGATCGGATCTGGTTTATTACTTTGTTTGCAGATTTTTTTAAAGCAAAAATCATCCTTATTGTAAACTGAAAGCATAGTCATTATAATATACTTTACCGAATAATGCAGATTTCCATCACCTAGCTTTTCAAAATGAGTTTCTTAAAGACACAGATAGCAACAATTTGATCAAGTGTTTTATAGTTGGGAGGAAGGCCTGCAACTTACTTCTCCAGCGTCCAGTAGCTGGTTGTAAACAAGCTATGTATTCAGTTAGTCTTCTTTCAAAAGCCTTGAGATCTAAAAATGAAAGGGAATAACCGGATTAGCCAAAGCCTACTTTAGAACATAGATTTAGCATCTTGAAACTCCTTTACATGATGGCTACGAAGGACATTTGTGTGCTTTTAAGTTAGTGCTGATTTCTGGCCCTGCCTGGATAAATCTCTGCAGTTTTATTTTTCATTCTAGCTGTGTTTTGTCTATTGTACTGATAAACACTTTTTTTTTTTTTTTGTAAAATTGGATACGGATGACACAGGCACATAATACAATACCATCCAGTGCAGGTAATCCTAAATTGAATACTATTGGCCAAGTGTGATTAGACCTGCAAAAAAATTTGTCTCCAGTACAAAAGCACTCAGTGTACTTGCAATGGAAATAACAATAATTAGGTCCTATAGGTAGACAAAAATGCCAAATTCAGTTTGAACATCTGGCCTCTGCAATGAACCATAGTAGCAATATCACTTAGACTTATATACTGCTTTATAGTGCTTTATAACCCTCTCTAAGCAGTTTACAGAGTCAGCCTCTTGCCCCCAACAATCTGGGTCCTCATTTTACCCACCTCGGAAGGATGGAAGGCTGAGTCAACTTTGAGCCTGGTGGGATATGAACTGCCAAACTGTAGGCAGCTGGCTGCAGAAGTAATAAATAATAACAATACAAGGGGAAAATAAAGAAGATAATTTATAATATTCAAAGCACAAATCCTGTTGTGTGTGAAAAATGGTCCCAAGTCCCTTTTTTCAAAGCCATCGTAACTTTGAAGGTCACTAAATGAACTGTTGTATATCGAGGACTACCCGGACTCAACCCTGACCAAAAGGGGGGGAGAGAGGGAGTAGGATGAGTGGGGTGGTGATGGTGGGATCTGTTATTGATCTATCAACCACCACAATGGTCCAAATAATTTCCATTCCTAATCTATCCCCTCACCTGCAGGCTCACCAAGCAAGTTGGTGGGGATGAAGTAGACCTGATGAACTGCGGCCAGCACAATAGCCTATACGTCTGCTGAACTGTCCTTCTCTAATTTATTGAATAGATAGATTAGATAGATAATGGATGGATAGGTGGGTGGGTGGATGATAAATGACACAGATAGATGGTGATAGATGACATAGATGATAAATTGGTAGATGATACAGATTGATAGATAGATGATTGACAGTTAAATACACCTATAGACATGGTAGATTATATATAGTTAAATAGATATATAGATGTAAATAGATACCGATAGATTAGATATATTGGATGGATGGATGGATGGATGGATGGATGGATGGATGGATGGATGGATGGACAGACAGACAGACAGACAGATAGTTGACTGACAGATGACAGTTCAGCAGATTCGGGGGGCGCCAGGTTGGGGAAGGCGGCGGAGTCTTGGGGTTCGGAACGTGGGATAACGACCCAGACCAGCCTTGGAACCAAGCGAAGATGCTCGGACCCGTCTTCCCCTGCCTTACCTTCCGCTTGTTCCAGCGAATTCATCTCTGAATCGGATGAAAGGGGACGAGACCGCTTCCGAGACCAGCCGCCCAAAGCCGGGAGCTTCCCTCCTCCGGCGCTCTATCCCGCGACGTAAGCTCTCGACTTTCCTTCAACGCCGTCGCATCATCGGCACTTCCCATTGGGCAGGGTTCGCCCAGACTGCGTCCTTCCACCAACAAGCCTTTGGGTCATTGGGTCCACCCCCTTGTGGGCAAGAAGCTGGAGGAGGCTGAAGAGACGGGCAAAGAGGAATGCGCACGCGCAGTTTGCACGCTCTTTCCCTCCCTCCCTCCCTCCCCTGTTTGGTTCTAAGTGTCCTCTCTAAGATTTTAGGAACGCTTGAAAAAGTTTAGCAAACTTTCTCTTCTTCCCTCCCTCCCTCCCTTCTCCTTCCTTCCTTCCTTCCTTCCTTCTTCCCTTCCCCTTTCTTTCTTTTCTTTCTTCCTTCCTTCCCTTTTCTTTTTCTTCTTCTTCCTTCCTTCCTTCCCCTTCCTTCCTCCCTTCCTTCCCCCTTCCTTCCTCCCTTCCTTCTTCCTTCCTTCCTTTTCTTCCTTCCTTCTTCCCTTCCTCTTTTTTTCTTCCTTCCTTCCTTCCCTTTTCTTTTTCTTTCTTTCCTCCTCTTCCTTCCATCCTCCCTTCCCCTTCCCTTCCCTTCCCTTTCCTTTCGCCTCCCATAAGGTTGGGCTGCCATAAATTTATTAAATTGTCCTGTTGAAACATGATGAACTTTATCGTATATCCCCAAAGGCTTCTAGGGTGGCTAATGCTTCAAAATGCTTTCATTTAATGGTTTTGTAACTTGTCCACTTTTAAGAATTTCCCAGGATTTTTATTTATTTATTTTTGCAACCCGGCTCCGCGACCCCTAACGGCTGCCTAATTCCTACTACGGGATATAGTTCTGCTTCCAAGGAACACACTAGGTGGGGGTGGGGGGGAGCTGAACTACAATTCCCGACATCCTTATCGCCTCGACACTAGCCGGCCGCCGTTGCCTTGGAAACCGCGCCGGGCCCCCTAGGCCTCACTAGGCCGCTGGGTGGGGTGAGGGGGGGTGCGCGAGGGCGGGAGTCGTCGCCCCCGGAAGAGGAGGAGCCCTTGTAGGCGGGACCGGCTGCCCCCTTTACCGCCCCGCCCCTCCTCCTCCTCCTCCTCCTCCTCCTCCTCAGGGTCGCAGCTGCTCCGTGAAGAGAGCGACGAGGCCGGCCTGTCTCGGAGGGGCGCCTGGGCAGCCCGAGCGGGTGAGCGGGAGAGGAAGGGGCCGCCGGGGCCCGGGAGGGAGGCAGGCAGGCAGGCAGGCAGGGTTGGGGTGGGGACGCTCTGGCCAGGCGTGAGCGCCCGGGAGGGAAGGGCGGGAAAGGGGGGCCAGAGAGGGGCGGTTGGCTGGATGGCGCGAGAGCGGGCTGCGGGTGGGGAGAAGAGGAAGCAGGCCTCGCCAGGGAGCCCTTGGCCCCGAATAGAAGAATTGGCTGAGGGACCCGAGCCTGTGTGTGTGTGTGGTGAGAGAGAGAGGTGAGAAGGAGAAAGTGCGTGTGTTTGTTTACGTATAGGGATATAGGTATAAAAACCGTCTCTGTGTCTGTGTTTTTGTATATAGAGATATATAAAAACGTCTCTGTGTGTGTTTATGTGTTTTCAATTTCATTGCACACATGTGCATTGATAATAAACGTTTGATTAAAAAAACGTGTGTATATGTGTGTGTGTTGTTTATGTATAGAGATATATAAAAAATGTATTTTTAGGTATAGGGATATATATATGTATATATGTGTGTGTGTGTATCTTTGGTTATTCGGGTTTTCTCCCGTGTAAAATTGGAAATATCTAGGCGACGTTTCGATGAAGTCTCATTCATCATCTTCAGGCTTGTGTCTTCGGCTTTGTGCTTCTCGGAGTATGTGTGTGTGTGTGTGTGTATACACACACACACACACACACACATACATACATACATACCATGTGTGTGTGTGTGTGTGTTTATGTATAGAGATATATAAAAAATGTGTTTTTAGGTATAGGGAGATGTATGTATGTATATGTGTATATATTTATATATATATGTGTGTGTGTGTGTGTGTATAAAACGTGTGTTTATAGAGATATATAAAAAAGAATGTCTCTGTGTATGTGTGCATCTTTCTCTCTCTCAAGCCTCCTCTTTCTGTTATGTGTTCCAAGATGGACAGTGATTCATATTTATAGGTTAGGATGTAGGTATAGACATATGTATGTAGATAGCATATCTATATATGTGTTAGGTATGTGTACACTTTTGATATACACACACAAAATAAATATGGTATACAACCTGGACACATGAGAGTCCATACACATTATATATACATATACTGTATATAGAGAGGGAGGACTAACTAGGCTACATATAAATGCAACAAAACCAGAGAGGTATTTGTTTTTGTATTTCCTGGACAAAGAGCTCAAATTTTAGCCTTTAAGATATATGCTGATAGATATAAATGGTAAAGACAAGATAGATATAAATTGTAACTTTGTATTCATTTACTTTGTTCATCTTTAATGAAAGAAAATTAATTTGTTGCTTAATTTTTTCTTGTATTTCTTTATCTTAGTATTGTTTACTTCACTGTTATCTGGTCTGATGTTATCTTGAAGTTGATCTATGCTCATCTGGGTGCTAATTGCTGGTCCTGATTAACTCCAAGATTAACATCAGACCAGCATTGAAGTAAACAATACTCCTATAAGAAAACTTGCCAAACAAGCCAACAGGAAATCAAAGAACCTCTAAGACCACCACCCCTCAACACTGACAGGGCAAGCCACCAGAATATAAATGAGTTTAAACCCCACTCCTTACTAGCACTGATGATGCTACCTAGTTTGGGTAATGAGATGCCTGCAAGAAGACAACCAAGCTCACAGAGAGCATCCAGGAACTTTCAAGATGTAATCTGCATTACTGGAAGTTCTCCATGGAAAAGGATAAACTGATAGAAACTCAGCTAGAGGATTAGTGATTTCCCATCCCCATTTTCATTATAATCTGCCTTTATTGCTATATTTGATGGGGTTGTATTATGTAGTTATTGTAGTGTTGGAAGTTAAAACCCACCCCTCTCCTAGAGAAATGAAATATTTTAGGATATATTTAAAAAGGCAGGATATTTCCCCTAAAAGAGAGGCAGAAACTCAAACCTTTGCTAATGGGCCATTAAGGCCTGGGCCAGTCTAGTTTACATAACAAAGATCTATGTCCTTCAGGCGGACCCATAATAGGAATCCCAAAGCCCTTACAATACCTCATCATCCAGCAAGGCTCAACCAAGCCTGGGACTCAGGGCAGCCTACAGAGTTGCCCTTTCATGGTCCCATGACAACCAATCAGAATACAAGCTCAAATTCAAATCCCAATAGAGGGCATAAAACCAAGGGACTCTCAGCATTTCTTCCCCCTTTTTCGCTCATGAGCTCCAAGGCACGTGAACCTGTCCAGCATTAAGCCATCTTTCCAAACAGCCTCCATGTTTCCAGTGTCTTTTTCACTACTTGGAACTGAACCCAGAAGGATATTTCTTCCAACAGTAGGAAAGGGAATGCTCTAAGCAGCTTGAAAAAAGTCCTGTGTTGAGAAGCTGAGAACATTCTTGTGCATAAAGGCTTTTAGCAATAAATCAATTTAATTGAATCTTCACATGTAGAATTGTGCACCTGATACCTCATCATGTGTTTTTTTTTTGCAAAACCTCCAAAATGTTCTCACCATGTTGTCCTTATTTACACTTCATTGTATTTTTCCACTAGTATATGTAATTATGTTGAAGAGGAAGTCTATAATTATATATATAGTTGAGGTAAAATTCTCCAGCAAAACATACTGAGTTTGTGATGTTCCTGATCTGATGTCCTTTATCTGTGCTGTAGACTCACTGAGATGGAAGAAAGTTAAGTTTGCTGCATATTCATCTATTTTGGGGTTTACAGTAACTCCAAGAATATTTAGCACAAGGGATATGATGGCTTCTGAGCAGAGCAAACAATCTTTCCAAATATATCAAGCTAGGAATACACCATAAGGGAAATGCAAAAATATAATTTACTTGTCGCATCAGCCTTGTAATTATGCCCTCAAAAATTAATAACCTGGTACAAAAACAAAAAAATGGCAGAACAGAAATGGAGAATTCTACCTGATGTCCCCCAGTTGTTTTAGACTTTATGACCCAGACAAAGAATTGTAGAAATGATATTGTAAAATATATAGAAGACACCAGATTTCTTATCTCTCCTGTGGGAAATCTCTTGTAAGAAATGTTAATTATGGACAAGTCCATTTAACCCCATACTCTGTTGCTGTTTGGCATTCTACCATGACAACGTAAGGGCAATTAAGGGAAAGTGTTAAAGTATTTGTATCCAGCGAACATGTTAATTTCATGAAGCAAAGCAACATTTTAAGGGGCTCTTAAACGTTTCCACTTTTTAACTTTTTCAATTTTTTTTATAACACATTAGTAGTTTGGAAAAAGTAATAAGTGGCTTATTACTCTGAATGTTTTCAGATGTAAATTTTCTTCTGAAAATATTTTCAAACTAATTTCTTTAATAACAAGATTTTCTTTTTTTAATTTAGAAACTAAAATGTCTTCATGGCCCAAAGTAACCACAGATCAAGCACAAACACCGGATCCTGAAAAAAGGTAAAAGCACAATGATCCTTGTTCTTTTTCCTGTTTCTTTTAAATTCTCTCTCCCTCCCTCCCTCTCTCTGTATTAAAGAAACATACATACATACATACATACATACATACATACATACATACATACTAAAATTTCGGATCCACATTTCTGTAGAAAAATTTTAATGCATTCTTTTTTTTTACATTTAGTTTAGAAGTTTACTTCTTTAAAAATTGTGGCCTATACTAACTAGATGGATACAAACTAAATCTGATCTTTGTATATTCTGACTAAATCATTGAAAATTCTGTGTGGAATTTAGCATTTTAAATTTACATTGTATCCTGGTTTCCTTCTTTAGTAGGGTTAGCGGCTACATTTGCTGCTGATGGCATGCCCAAATTCATAGCTAATCCTGCCTAACAAACTATCTGTGTGCTTATGTGTTACATGTTTGTTCGTTGTTTTTCGGTTCATATGAATGAATACATAAAACAAGAAATTGTGCTTCACATCTAAACCTATCCTCTTTAGTTTGCTTGCTTGCTTATTTATTTATTCAATTTGTGTGGCTGCCAATCTAAACAAATTATTCTGGGCTTGCTGTTCCCAAGCAAGCTGGTATTTCTAATTTTAATTTGGTACCAACGCTTGGCTTACACTTTTGTTTTTCAATCCGGATTCCAGTTCAGCTGGAATCAAGAGTTACCAAAGAATTGTATTAGTGTTGTTGTTCGATCACTAAGTTGTATCCCACGCTTCATGACACTATGGATTATAGCACTCTAGGGCCCCACCCCGTCCTCCAATATCTCCTGGAGTTTGTTTAAAATTCATATTTATTGTGTCAATAACACCAACCATTTCATCCCCTGCAGTTCCCTTCTCCTTTTGCCTTCAATCTTTCCTTCAATCAAGGTCTTTTCCAATGAATCTTCTCATTTGGTGACCACAGCATTTAAGCTTCAGTATCTTGTTCTGTTCCTTATTCACAACCAAAACCTTTAGCAGCAAAACACTGCAAAAGTGACGGCAGGGACTGGTTGATTCTAAACCAGTGACGCTCAAGCGTTCTCAAAGAACTGGGTTTGAGTTAAAGTTAAGAGGAGACTTTCTGTAAGTTGCCTTGAGCTTTTATAGAACAGGTGAGATACAAATGCAATAAATAACACAAAATGTTTGGCAGAGAAATGGTTTCAAAGCAACATGGCCACCTAGGCAATTAATCCAGCTGCCTCATTAAGACAGATGGTTGTTTACACTGATGGGCAGCAGCTGTCTTTGTTTTCAGACAAGTCTTCTCCCCAAAGCAAATATCTTAAAATGGCAGATTGACCCTGCGAAAATTTTCATGCCAAGATACCCAGCTTCACAGTAATTACCTGGGGTCTAGAGTTACTATCTATATGTTGAAATTTTAATATGATATGAATATAATATGGAAAAAAATAGGTGCTAGGACTACCTATAGCCGTGATGGCGAACTTGTGGCACACAGAGCCACTTCTTTTGGCACACGAGAGGTCGCCCGGAAGGCCTCCACTGCGCATGCACGTATGCCCCCCCCCCCCCCGGCCAGCCAGCTGATTGTCGTGTATCTGCAGCGCATGCGCAGGGGGAACCATGTGCATGGAGATGCGTGCGCATGCGGGGGGTGGTCGCGTGTGCATGCGCAGGGGGCGGTGGGGGGTATATGTGCACATTGCATCATGGATGCAGGCATGCGAGTACACACTTGACATGCAATGTGGAAAAGGTTCGCCATCACAGACCTATAGTAATATATCTGTCTAATTTTTGGCAAATGATGTTTGTTTTATGGAATATTCCTTGGCCAAGCTGCTAATTATCTTCTGGCCATTTGAGTGTGACCTGACACACCTGTCACCTACAGGTTCTCTACAATGTCAGGTCTAGAATGTTTCTACTGCAATTACAGGTAGTCTTAGTTTGCTTAGTGACCATTCGAAGTTATAACGGCACCAGAAAAAAAGTGACATTTTTCACATTTATGACTGCAGCATCCCCATGGTCACGTGATTTACATTTGGATGTTTTACAGTTGACTCACATTTATGACCAT